TATCAATTCTTCCATTCCCCACTATCCAGTCAGAGCTAAAGAAGCTTCTTGGATGAGAAGCGAAACGTCTTCAAAGAAAAACCAGAAAGCCCAATTGCCTCTTGAAGAAGCACCTTTGGGACAAACCATGACCTGGATGACGGGGAATCTCCATAGACGTTTAGCCATGCATTTTGGGATGAAGGCCCTTCAAATGGTGCAGGAGAATGAATGGATTTCCAGAACAACTGCAGACTACAGGAACCATTTGCACTTTGAGTTTGAGATGCAGACAGCACAGACTCCTCCCCAACAGCCTGTGCCTGTCTTCAACAGAGAAGGGACACAGGGCAGAAAGCACAGTTCAAAACCTCTCAATGAAAGAATAAAACAGATTAATTTCACAACGGAGTTAGAAAGCTGAAGAAGCTTCTTGGATTACAAGTGAAACATCTTCAAGAAAAACCAGAAAAGTCCACTTGCCTCTTGAAACATTTACCACATTTACAGGTCTTGAAAATGTTTATTTTGACTTCAAGAGGAGAGGAAATTCTTGCTTATATTTGCTTGAATGAGCTCAGACACTCAAAGGATAGCGCATAGTCTTGCAGACAGGGATTCCACCTCTCGCTCCATCACTTCAGGAGTCTGGCAGCACCTTCCCTGACTACTAAAGGGGGTTAAAAGGCAGAAAGGAAAGTGAGCTGCAGCTCACTCATGGATTCACGGAGTGGTGGAGGAGGATGTGCCCCAATTTGCTCCCTGCAGCGTCAGTTCACAACAAATCACCAGACTCTTATCTCAACGACAACAAGAAGAAGGATGGGGATGGAAGGCACAGAGCAATGGCAGAAGACTCACCACTTCGTGCAGGGGCTCAAATCCAAGCCGATCTGGGCTTTGACGCAACGAATGGTTGTGCGGATCAGGACCGTGGGGCTCGTAGCTGGGTCAGCACCATCCAGAGAGGGGGACCACTCTCCTCCCAGAAGCACCAGCTCCTCTGCCTTCTTTCCCAGCAGGAACTGAGAAAAGAAAAAGGGAAAAGCTCTCAGGCAAGATTTGCAGACAGAACTACAAAGATGGCAGTATTCTGTTGATCAAACCTCCAAGAAGGACAGAGGAGACATGGAAGTGACTAGATTTTTTTAAGATTAGTTTAGAATAATTTTATTGTCACTTTGGATGTACACTAATCAGCATACATTAAAATGAAACTCCCAAAGGGTCACCACATCCAACATAAACTACATACGATAAACATGACAAAATGAATATAAAATTATGCATATAGCCACATATATTATATGACACAGAAACAACCAACTAGTTCGGATATATACATGTACATGGTGAGGAAACGAATCTTGCGAGTTTACCAGACGGATGGCATCAGGAATAAAAAGCTGTTATAGAATTTGGTAGTCCCAAAACCTCCTCCCAGAGGGGAGCAACAGAAACTGACCGTGAAGTGGGTGTGTAGGGTTTCTAACAATGCTTTGAGCTCTACGCACAGAGTGCTTATAGACAATATCCTGAATAACAGGAAGCAAGCTTCCTATAATCTTCTCCGCTGTCCTCACCACTCTCTGTAGGGACTTTCTATCTGCTACCACCAAAGCAAACAGGGATGCAGTTTGTTAAAATGCTCTCAATCATGCCACTAAAGTGGCCAGGACAAAAGAAGGAAGATGTGTTCTCCTCATCTGACACAGGAAATGCAGACACTGGTTTGCATACTCCAAATGATGTGTGGAGAGACCAGTTCCAATTGTTAGTTGCACCCCCAGATACTTAATACATTTTACCACCTCTGCAGCTGCCTCCTTGATACTGAGTGGAGTACAACTATGCCAGCTCTTTCTAAAATCTATAATGATCTCCTTTGCTTTATTAACACTTAGAACAAGGTTACTTTTATTGCATCAGTTCACCAGAGCCTTCAGACACTTCTGTTCACAAGGATGGTCTAGATATCCACCCACCCCAATGCAAAATGTGGATCCAGGGAAAAAGGTTTGCTGACAAAAATAATTCTATGTGGGAAAAGGATGTGTGAAGGCTATCTGATTCTACATCCCTGTTTCAGCTGGGGGCTGCACTCTTTTTTTAGACTGAAAGATGCCCTTGTATGATATACTGGGGTCAGACTCCAAAAGTGGGAGGGGCCCCTGGTTGATATCCATCTACCAATTGATTTTCAGAAAATGTATCATGAACGAAATCTTGGCAGATGAACTACCGTGTTTCCCCGAGAATAAGACAGGGTCTTATTTTCTTTTGATCCCCGAAATAAAGGCTTGGTCTTATTTTCCGGGAGGTCTTATTATTTTTGAGGTACAGGATGTGACAAGTGGAATCACCTCATGGCTGTTGCTGTGTTGCAATATATTCAGGGATGACTTATTTTCCAGGGAGGGCTTATTTTAGCGCATGTGCTCAAAAGCCTGATTGGACTTATTATCCGGAGAGATCTTATTTTGGGGAAAACAGGGTAAGAACTCCTGAATTATGGACAGTAATTTCCTTTTTAGTGAGGAGACCTTCAATGTATTAGCTTAAGACTTTTTAGCTGCCCAAGATAAAAGAGGTGAAGGTGAAACCTACAGAACAAAAATGAAACTTAACTTCCAAACAACTGTAATTCCCATTACTACGCCTTACTTATTAAATATAATAATCAAAATTTCAGGCAACACTGCATTTGGACACAAGTACAACTCATTTACATTACTTCCAGCAAATGTTGCTTACCTTAATTTGCTTTGTGGGGTGTTCAGGGATTTCCCTCTGCTCGCTGGGCTCCTCAATATACAGCAGAGAATTGCGGTAGAATTCCTCAATGCCAGGAGAAGAAAGCAGCAGAACCTACATCGGAGAGGAGTTGCAGAGCAGTCTGAGTGCAGCTGCAATGCATGCAGAAAATACCAACAAAATCCACTACCAAAACTTCAAACAAAAGAAGATGCCGATGCCCGAAATCATAGAGAGGCATTACAATTTACAGAAGATGATGGTGGATTTAATTATGACATTAAAAAAAGATCATAGCTATTGTTTTATTTGGAAGAGAGTAGATTGTTGATAAGGTAGGAGCCAACAATGAATTATCTGCCTAGCTGAATTAGAATGCCCATATTCTTACTCGGTTTTAAGGAGGTACTGAAACCGTTTCATGCAAGCCTTTTTCTTGAATGATTCTATTCTCTGATTTTGAGATTTCTTTAAAAATAGGCCTGTTTTTCAATCTGTGTTTACTTTAACACTTGTTATCTAAAAGCTGTGATTTTTCAGATAAAAGGGAGCGAGATTAAGACGTGTGAAAAATAAACAAAAGAGAAAAATATGTTGTATAACTACCTTTATAAAATAGACAGGATTTTACTAATCCAGAAGGCTTCCATGCACACCTATATTATCGGTGCTCCCAAAAAGGAATCTCACAAAATAGTTTGCAAACAACATATAAAGCGCCTACCCGTTTATTTCCTCGCTAACTGTTGTACTTCGAATATTTTAAAATATTTTTTGGAGTCTAAGCAGCTCCAAAAGATATGGCGCATCTAGCTTTTGGGGAAGAAAACAAGGGGGATTGTCTGTCTCTGCCATCCAGCAATTTGCCTCCTTGCAGCAAACAGCACAGAAGATATACACAGTTTGTGTATATTTCATTTGAGACTATACTTGTACAAATGCTGTTAAAATTGATGTGTTTTCTGGAAGTATATATTATTCTCTGCTATTTAAAAGAAGATATAATAGCACTGGGCCTCTTCAGATCAAGCACTTATTTTAAAAAGCTTCTTCATTTTATTGAGTTGTCTAGAACAATAATAAAACAGTCTTTAAAAAATAAGTCTAATAAATTGAACATTCTATAGGCATTTATAGTTATTGACTTACCTCCTTGCAACAAACAGCAAACAGCCTGATTAGCACAAGAAAAAAACATCTGCCTCTACCTCCCAGCAATTTGCCTCCTTGCAGCAAATAGCAAGTTTCACTTTCAATTTCAGTTTAAGTACAGATGATCAGCTCTTTCAGGCTGCAGGGATTACCATAGCCTATTGCAAGCCTCATTTTCCTGTTCGCTGCAAGGAGGTAAATTGCTGGGAGGCAGAGGCCAAAGGGTTGGGGACGGTGGGTGGATGGGCCTACATTCAGTGTATAAGACGCACCCAAATTTTCACCCTCTTTTAGGGCAGGGGGAAGGTGCATCTAATACTCCGAAAAACACAATAAAGACAAAACAGGAAGGGATTTTAAATGAATTTAAACAAATAAAATGCAAAGGAATAAACATTATAGCAGGGGTCATGTTCACCCAACAAATTCGACCACAGAATAAATTTATGCAGCAGAATTGGTTGAGAAGAGGGAACAAAACATTAATTGAAATGTGCATCTAATTTCTGCCCAAACAGCCTTGGAGAATTCAGCTCAGCTCATTAAAACTCTTTGCACTTCCTCTTTGTCAGCTGTTTGTAGAGAACAGGGTCCCAAAGTATTCACCTTGGCACTGAATGCAGGATTTGCGTCCTCCGGCTGAGCCTCCAGCCTGGTATCCTCTCCCGTCTGAGGCAACTCTTCAGCAGGACTGGCCACTTGGATACGGCTAGGGTGCTTCAGAGTCAACGGCTGGCTAAGAGGGAAGGTATCCAACCAGCAGAGGCGGACATCATAGAATTCCTTGGGCAGCTGGATGCTGCAGTAGCGCCTCAAGATTTCCATGGCATCACAGAAAGGGCTGGCGAGACAAAGACCAAAACAAAGGATCCCCTTTTACAGGACGTCTAGTTTGTCTTATTCAGAGCAGGTGGAAGGTGAAGTTTGCTCATTCATTGGAGCAATAAATCAACACACTTAAGTCAACGTTGACTAAGCTAGATGTGTTTGTTCTCCGTATCTAAACCAAACATTTCCCCAGCATTCACCAAGCCTTTCCCCAACACACCATTTCTCTCGTTTACAAGAAACCAAAGCAGACATTTGCTTTGTTACTAACGTGACCTCGGGGCCTAATAGTGAAATAATGCATTGTTCTTATCTTAACCAATGTTGAACTCTGCTCAACTTAGGTCGTCAAAAAGTTTTGATCCTGAAGATTCTGGGTTGCAGGCCAGCAACTCCTGTCCAACAATGGAGATATTGGAGTGGGGAGGCAGACAGCAAAGTGCTGCTGTGGCCTAGAGGTGCAGCTCTCACCTCACAATCAGAAGGCTGCGAGTTCGATCCTAGTCAGAGGCAGATATTTCTTTCTTTGGGCACAATGAGAATATATCTGCTGAACAAAACTCCGCATTGGCAACACAAAGGGCATCCGGCCATTAAACACTCTGTTAGCTGCATTCAGTTGCCCAGACTTCACCCCACAAGGGATTATGGGGTCACTAAATGATGGTGAGAGTGTGGGGCAGACACTCGTCCTGATATAACTCATGAAAAGCAGCAATCTCTTTCCACCCCGTCTTTCTGGCCACGCACAAGGCTCCCATTCGCTCTTACCTATTCACAGCATAGCAAGCCAACTGGACTCGGTATTGGGGTGGCTCGTGCCGAGGCTTCTTTGCCCCCCAGGGCTCATTACCCTTCTGCTTCCTCTTCTTGGAGTCAAAGTCATCCCTAAAAGGGAGAACAACTTGGTCGCATCAGCCAGAGTTACATGCGGCACTGAAATCCTAGGTTTTTCCCAGTTTGGTTCTCGGCAAACACAACCTTGGGTACAACTCAAAAGAGAGAGAGAATGTGGATATGCAACTAGTTTGTTCCATGGAAAATAAACCCTCTTCTCTGAGGAAAAAAGCAATCCTACTGGAGACGTAATGACTGCACCCACACAAAAGTGTCATTTTTGGTTTTTCTGGGCTTGAGATGAATGACTTTTCCGAGACTGGTTTCCTATCACAGGAGTCTTCCATTCAGGGTTGACCCAAAGGGAGGTTTTGTTTAATTGCTACGGCATTTTCAAATCATATGAGAACCAAAGCCCAACTGTGGTGGGTCATTCCGTGAAGTCTACCTTGGGCAGCGTTCTGGGTTAGCTGTGGCCATCTGTAAAGCCCACAGGGAAGAGATAGGAGTTTAACAGGCCCTCTTTGGTCTTTGGTCTCCCTATCCACCATTTTCTTGGGACCCACTCATCTACCCTGCCTGGGGCTCTGTGTACCAATCATTGCCATATGGGGACAACAAGAAATGTACGGAAACCCATGTGAAGCAGGGGAAAGCAGGGAGAAATCTCAAAAGTACCATTCTGCTCCTTCTCTAAAGTAGAAAGTGGGTGTCAGCCCTGGGAGCCATCTTTTTCGTTGGAGCTTCAGGGCTGCCACATTAGTACCTGGGGAAACGGGAAGGGGAGTTGCGAGGAGTGGTGAAGGATTAGCCATAACATTCCTTTTTCTGGGAATCAAGGACATTTGGCTGGCACCTGGATGGGTTGTCTCCAGTTGGGACAATGAATTGACTGGCCCAAGGCATGGATTCTGGACTGCCGCTAAGAAAAGCAGACCATCCTGCCTCTAAAACAGGGGTGTCAAACTCGAGTCAATTGAGGGCCACATTAAAGTTTGGGGGGGCAGCTTGACCTTACTCGTGACGGGGGCACATGTGGTGACCCGAGAACTCTGCCAGAGAAAATGGGCTCCCAGGCTCCATTTCTGCTGCCACAGCCTCCTGCAACCCTCTGCCAGTGAAAAGGGAGCTTGCACAGCCTTTCCAATCTCTATTTGTGGGCCAGTCCTACGCTGTTTCTAGGGCAGCCCCCGCAGGCAAGATCTAAGTATCCCGCAGGTCGGGCATCCCCGTTCTAGGAGGAGAAATATTCCCTCCCAGGAAATAGGGAAGATTGCTAGATTTGCATGAAGAGCTTTTCTGCTCAGTGGCAAGGGGCAGCTAAGTAACAGAAAGTTGCACCCAATGGATTGAGAGACCAGCTGGAAAGGCAAAATGTGCTCCTGAAAAAAGGGGGCAAAGAAAGGCTCCTTGGGAAAGTGAGAACTCACACTCAGTGGTGCGACTGGCAGGATGCTGTGCCAACCCAAAAGGACCCGTTGAGATTCTTACCATCTGCCTGACTCCTGCCTGCCTTTAGGACCTCTACTGGCGTATCTCCCAAGGTGGCCCAAGTGGAGCGATGGAGATGTCTGGAAGAGGCTCATTGCTGGAGAAGAAACATATTCAGCCTTATTTTCTCCTTCTCCAAGGAGAACCCATTTGCTTCTTCAACTGGGCCTTACATCATGCCAGATCCGCTATCTGTTGTGGCCCACCAGCCGCCAGCGGATCTGGCAACAGATTCGGACAGTGAGGGGGTTGGGGAGGAACCTGGGCCAGTCCTGGAGTCTGGGGAAGGCTCTGTGTCGGAGATAGAGAGGGGGCCAGAGCCGTATGCCAGTTATCAGCTGCCTTCTGAGTCAGACATCAGTGAGGCAGAGGAACAGCTGGAGCCTCTTCCCAGTGTGCGCATGCGCAGAGTTGCCAGATGAAGGGCACAGCTAAAGAACAGGGGTCGACTTGGGAGTAAGGCCACAGGTGGATGGTGAATGGTCCCGCCCAGAGGAAATAAAAGAGGAGCGAAAGGGGAGTGGAGTTTGCAGGAGACAATTAGTTCATTCCTGCATTCTTGCCAAGTATTGCAGCGTCTGGAAGATATCGGCCTGGCCACTCTCCAAGTCTGAGAAAGATTGGTAATTGTGAACTATCTGGAAAGTGTGGGAAAGGAAAGACTTTGCTGGAGGGGAATTCACTGTAAATTAAATAAAAGGGGTTTATCAGGATGAGGACTTGGCTTCGTGCTGCTGGGGAAGCCTAGGTCAGAGGACTACCACTGGTTCCAGGTTACATGTACCTGGGTGCATGTAACTTTATCCACCTTGTGAGGAGAAACCAGGATGACAAAATGACACACTTCCCAAAATGCTATTCAATTTCTTTTTTGCAGACAAGGCACTCAAATAACACCACAGCTAGATCTAGATGATTTACTAGGATCACAGACTTCTCTCGTGGTCTAGAAAAGCTGTTTCCATTATTCCCTTCCATGAATCAGAATGAACAGGGAAAAAACTATTTAGAAAATAAGCCACGGCTTCAAATTTCCCATCTGGCTTCTGAAAGAGTTTTGTCTCTCTAGCTTCCTCATAGTGTAACGAATCTCGGATTCAAGTTTTAACGTTTAACGCTCCGCCTCTGATCGGATGTCTTCACCATCCGACGCTGTGTCACTAGCATAAGATGCAAGTCACACTTACGTTTCTGGGGGAAGAGAGGGGGAATCCGGTGTGGCTGGAAGAGGAGCTGAGGCTGAGCTCCCAGAATGCCTTGCTTCTGTCCCAAAGAAGCTACATGGAGCAGAGGAGTGGGGGGCTTCAGAAGAGGCTGGGGGGAAAAATATTAATGAAAATTTGTAAACTAATTTTTCTTACTGAAAAACTTCCAAACCGTGAGTGAACAAATGTTTCCTAAACAAAAAGATAGCATTGGACCTGCCACAACTTAAGTCTCTAAATCAGGGGTGTCCAAACTTGGGAACTTTAAGACTTGTGGGGAATTCTGGGAGTTGGCATCCACAAGTATTAAAGTTCCCAAGTTTGGACACCCCTGCTCTAAATAGAAACAACGCTTGGCCCCATTTGTTGAAAAAGGTATAGTTTACTAGAGATCAAGTTTATTGCAGTAGTGCAAAGCCAAAACTGGGAGTCATGCACCAAACTCCCTCAATTGTTCTTTTCCCTCCCTCGATTTCGTAACAGATGGTCCAAGCAAGCAGTTTGGTATGTGTCCCCCTCCTCCTTCCAGCTGGGTGACCTTGAGGCAGCAGCATGAGCCACAGTGGCACAGCGGTTAGAGTACAGTACAGAAGGCTACTTCTGCTGCCTGCCGGCTGCCTGCAATTTGGCACTTCAAATCTCACTAGGCTCAAGGTTGACTCAGCCTTCCATCCTTACAAGGAGAGCAAAATGAGGACCCAGATTGTTGGTGGCAATATGCTGACTCTGTAAACTGCTTAGAGAGGGCTGGAAAGCACTTTCCAGCATCATATACGTCTAAGTGCTATTGTAATTGCTATTTCCCCCTTCATTCCCCCTCCTCGGGTTCATGACACTCTGACACAAGCAAGCATAAGATAGCAGCTGACAGATGGGCTTATTAAATTACTCTGTCTTAGCCACGATAACATTCCCCTCAATCTGATTTCTTTGTCATTTTAACTACCGTGTTTCCCCGAAAATAAGACAGGGTCTTATTTTCTTTTGCCCCACAAAATATGGCCTTGGGCTTATTATAGGGGAGAGCTTATTGTTTTGGGGTTGCCGGGCAGCTTCTCCCTTGCAAACTGGCTCCCGAAGAGCCGGGCACAGCCTCAGGGGTGAAGCAGCCATGAGGTGACCATGCTCACGAGCAACCGCCCGGTAAACCCCCTCTCCAGCCGGGCAGAGTGCCATTCACTGACCTAGGGGGTATCCCTAAAGCGCCAAACCACTTGGTGCTCTGCCCACCCCCCAGCTCTCACAGCTTGGCACATTAGGGATACCCCCTAGGTCATGCATGGAGCTCTGCCTGGCTGGAGAAGGGGGTTGCACAAGCGCCTGTTCCGCCCCCAGCAAGCATGCCTCCCAGCCTCACCATGCCCTGGCCCAGCTCTCCCTGCAGGGGCAGGGTGTCGCCTCCGCTGCGCTCCGAGCATAACTTCTTCTCCGGCTTCCAAACTCCAAAACTCAGCTGCTGAGTCTTCCAGCAGCAACCGCTCTAGGAGTGTGCTCTATGGTTGTTAGCGCTAAATAAAAGTGTGACGCCCCTTGTAACAGATTAGCACCATGAAAGAAACGAAAGCCCAAATACCAAGAAAGAATCGTTTTATCCACCTGAAGAGCAAAACTGGCTGCTACCTGATTTGACAAGGTCTGGACCTTCAAGGCATTCCAGGGCACCGACTGGCTGGGGTTGTAAACAGCTTTCACCAGCACTTTCTCCCCAATTTGTGGGATCCGGCCTTTGACAACGCTGAAAGGAAGAAAAGAGAGGAGTTCCTTACTTTGGTTGGCCCAGTCCCTGAGAAACCTCACTGTAACCCCTTCATAAGAAACTGCTTAGACGTCAGTATTGATTCGCCTTCTCCAACTGGCATTAGTCCTCTGATCTCAGGCCACGTTCCTTCCATCACATACTCTCCATCTTTTCACTGGAGGTGTATTAGGTGAGCTTCCACACACACAAAAGGTGGGGAAAATCACATTTCAATGTTGTAAAGCTTTGCAAGTAGAAGCTGGCACAGGAAAAGCTTAGCTGGAAACCTTTTTTTTCTTAGAATACTTGCATTTTTCTAGCAGGATGCATCACAATCTGTAGTACAACAGATTACACCCAATTCCAAAAGCTACAAGCAGCCAGGCTTGGGTGATCCTCAAACCTTGGAAGCAGCCCCTTTACTGCTCTTCCAAAGCTCATGTAAGGTTGAAGAGTGGCACAGTTACACAGTCTACGAGCAGCCATTTGCTGCCCACTTCTGGCCCTGCTGCTGCTCAGCAACCCTCTACTCACCTTAACTGGAAAAAAACTTCATCATCCACCACGCCAAAATAATCGTGGAGACTGGTGACAATGCCAGTAAAAACACGCTGCTTCTCTCCTCCCTAAAAGCAGAGAAAATCACTGTCATTAAATGACTCTCACCTGATCACTACCACCCTGTCCGAGGTCAACCAGTACATTCATGAATGCTGCAGATGTTGGCTTTGTAGAAGCCTAGTTGGCTTTCTTTATCATCCTTCGGAACGCTGAACCAACCAGCGGGCTATTTGAGGTGGAGACGACCTCAAGCCTTTACCCACTTCCTATTTAATTAATGATCTCTACTTAATGCATTCTGCATCAGCAATTTAACACTGGCTCTAAAAGCCATGGGCAAATAAATGCTAAGTCACTACTTAAATGTACAACTGTTCCTTTTAGGGTTAAATAACCCAACTTTTAACTTCCTTTTCCTGTCACACTTGAAGCATTTTAAGCAGGCTAAGCATACACATGCACCTTCTGCAACAATGCGCATAAAGACCTGCACAACAAGTCTTGTAAAAGCCTTGGGAGAGAAATAAAGCATAGGAAATGAAGAGTTCAAGCCATATATTTGTAGCGTTTCACCTTTGCCATTGCTGCAACTTCTCACTATTAGCTAAAAATCCTCCTGCATCATCTATGGCTCCCCTTTTATCAAAGCCAGAAGGTGTTAAAGCCACATGCCTGAGATATCAGAAGAGCTATGGAGATTTCCAAGGGGTTTTTACCTCACCTTCTGGCTGAGATTCAGCCTAGGAGAGAATGGGAATTGCTGTCTTGTTTCCAAAATATAACATTCTTGGCAGAATATCACAAGGGACCAGAAATCACCTTGTAACTTGAACAGTTCACAAAAGCCTTTTGTTGAGGTAAAATCCCCAAATTGTCCCATATCAAGAGATGGAAAGAATATCAGGATTTCAGCACCTGCCAACTAAGAAACCCATTAAAAGAAAGCCAATTAATTCTCTACCTGAAGATGACGTGTTGCTTGAATGATATCTGCTGAAATAGGAGGATTTAACAGACCTGGGGCCGGTCCTAGTAGAGAGGCTGGCTGTGTTCCTAGAGAAAAGGACCAGGTGTCAATATTATTGAAATCCAGTGGAAATAAAACTATTAAAAGACAATAGGTACATTTTATTTATCAATAAATCATACTCTGTAACCATTCTAGCCACATTATTTTCCATACAACTACAGCTTCAGACACACACACACACACACACTCGCATATACAGTGGGGAAAAAATGTATTAAGTCAGCCACCAATTGTGCAAGTTCTCCCACTTAAAAAGATGAGAGAGGCCTGTTACTGACATCATAGGTAGGCATCAACTATGAGA